TTATTGCATTTCAATGCAATTACTTATCCTATTGTGACATCGCCAATTTCCTTTGCAGCACAAAGTGATTGTTTTAGAAATAAAATCACAGCAATTATTTTCTCTCGCTGTTTAATTGGTCTATTGCTTACTTTTGTGCACCAATAGCTTTCGGCAAGAAGGGTGATCGAACAGCGCTCATAATGTGCCCGGCGCTTGGAATTTGATTGTAGGGCAAGGCTAAGCTTTAAAGGATTGATCCCTTGTTTAAAAATCAAAAAGGACTGCACCATTGAAATTTCAAAGGGCCGGTAAAGTTATAATATTGATGATAAATAGTGATAGCAAAGCCTGGGTACCTTAGGTAGGATGCTGCAATCAATCCTCCTGCCTATCCTAGTCTAGGGGCTTTCGAGTACTTAGTGGTGAAGAATGAGCCATGACTAAGTCGGAGTACAACAAGGATTTATCTCTAGGTAACAAGGCAAGGTTTAGCACATCTTACTACTACATGCAAGCTCCTGATGATACTGATGGCTTTGCAAGTAGCAGACATGACAAGTCTCCAAATAAAACTGCCCAAGACTCATCCAGACTGCCCAAACACTCCAGTGACTCCCATACCACATCGGAACCAACTTCAGCTGAGCTCCTAGATGAACACTTCCATATTACAGGGCTATTTTGAACTAAGGAGTCGCTGGAATAACTTGGGTTGTTTTCTCTGGAACAGCAGAAGCTGAGGGGAGACTTGATAGAACTTGATAAAACTTGATAAAATTATGACAGGCATAGATAGATTTCTGACTATCAATCCTTCCTCCCTCCATCACACCCCCCAAAGAGTTCAAATGTCTCATACTAGTGGGCTTGCATTTAAGGTGAGAGCGGGAAGTTCAAAGGAGATGTGAGGGGCAAGTTTCTTTTTAAAAAGCAGAGTGGTAAGATTCTGGAACCCACTGCCCAGGGTGGTGGTGGAGGCAGATACAAAAGGAGCATTAAAGAGATTTTCAGATAAGCACATGAATATGCAGAGAATGGAGGGATATGGACCAGGAGCAGGTGGAAGGGATTAGTTTAATTTGGCGTCATGTTATGTACAACATCGTGGGCCAAAGGGCCTATTCCCTTGCTGTGCTGTTCCATGTTCTATATTTGTGACCTTATCGAACAAGCATGATAGAAACATAAAAGATGGGAGCAGGAGGCGGCCATTCGGCCCTTCAAACCTGCTCCTCCATTCATCACAATCCTAGCTGATTGTCCAACTCAATAGCCTAATCCTGCTTTCTCTCCATAACCTTTGATTCCATTCGTCCCAAGTGCTATATCTACTCGCATCTTGAATACATTCAATGTTTTGGCATCAACTACTTCCTGCGGTAATGAATTCCACAGGCTCACCACTCTTTGGGTGAAGAAATGTCTCCTCATCTCCGTCCTAAATGGTCTACCCTGAAACCTCAGGCTGTGACCCCTGGTTCTGGACACACCCACCATCGGGAACATCCTTCCTGCATCTACCCTGTCCAGTCCTATTAGAATTTTATAAGTCTCTATGAGATACCACCACCACCACGCCACCTCCCAAGTCATTTCTGAACTCCAGCGAAAACAATCCCAAACTAGTCAATCTCTCCTCATGTGTCAGTCCCACCACTATCCCCAGAATCAGGCTGGTAACCCTTCACTGCACTCCCTCGAAAGCAAGAACATCCTTTCTCAGAAAAGGAGACCAAAACTGCAAACAATATTCTAGGTGTGGCCTCACTAAAGATCCTGTACAACTGCAACAACACATCCCTGCTCCTGTACTTGAAACCTCTCGCAATGAAGGCCAACACACCATTTGCCTTCTTTACCGCCTGCTGCACCTGCATGCTTACCTTCAGCGACTGGTGCACAAGGACACCCAGGTCCTGCTGCACACTCCCCTCTCCCAATTTACAGCCATTCAGGAAGTAATCTGCCTTCTTGTTTTTGCTTCCAAACTGAATAATCTCACATTTATCCAAATTATATTCCATCTGTCATTGATTTGCCCACTCAACCAACCCATCTACATCATGCTGAAGGATCTCTGTATCTTTGTCACAATTCACCCTCCCACCTAAATTGGTATCATCTGTAAACTTTGACATGTCACATTTTGTTCCCACATACAAATAATTTTTGTTGTGAATAGCTGGGGTCCCAGCACCAATCCCTGTGGCACCCCACTAATTATTGCTTGACGATTTGAAAAGGACACATTAATTCCTACTGTTTCCTATCTGCCAACCAATTTTCTATCCATCTCAATACACCCGCACCACCACCCCCCCAACCAATCCCATGCACTTTAATCTTGCACAATAATCTCTTACACAGGCCTTTGTCAAATTGATGTTTGCCATGGCTCCATTAGTAACACAGTGATCATTCAGACTTGAGCACAAAATCTGTGTTAGTAAGCGAACACTGAACTGTCAGAGGGATTTTTTTTGAACAGGATGTTAATCTAATAATATGAAAGAGCCCATAATTCTATTCCAAAAGCAGGGAGCACTCAAGTCAACGCACACTACACAAAACCTGGCTCACTGACAATTTCTCTCCCTCCCCACCTAATTTTCAGGACACTTCATGTCCACTAGTTTTGTCTGGTGTTTTCCAGCTTGTAAACAAACATAAAAATGATTTTTATTGAACAGAAAAAAAACAAACAACCTGGTGAAATCATAGTTCAATAACTTGTCATGACTGGGTCAGCGAACCAGAAATTGAGCCCTCTATTCTTGGAATCATCACAAAAGTTAAAGATTCCAAAAAGTATACAAAGTTTCCCAATTCACCAGGTTTTCAGCCCCAGGTCGGACCAGGTTTCTATACTGAACAAGAATAACTGTTTATTACAAAGTAGATGTACTGTAGCTACGGGTAAACAGTCATAAACCATCAGCATGCAACACTAGTTAAAACCCTAATCCCCTTATAAACTCCCTCTTACACACACAGCATTAAATTGATTATGGATAGAGGGTAAAGACAGCTCAGTAGTCTTGGTTTCTAGATCAGAAGTCACATGACACCAGGTTATAGTCCGATAGGTTTATTTGAAATCACAAGCTTTTTGAGCGTAGCCCCTTAGTCAGGTAAAGCAGCTACGTGTCAAAAGCTTGGGATTTCAAATAAACCTGTTGGACTATAATCTGGAATTGTGCGATTCTGACTTTGTCCATCCCAGTTCAACACTGGCACCTCCACATAATTTATTCCTAGGTTCTGTTGTTGAGATGATTTTTGTTACTCTTCTGCTGGCCAGCATGTTACTTCAGTTGTCTGTTTTCTCCAAGATGTTTCCACTGGTTGCTGAGACACACAAGACGGTTGGTTCCAATACAAAAAAGTCTCTTGACTTAATAGTTAAAAGGCTCAGCACACAACAATTTTTGCAGGAAAGATAAACTGGTTTTCTTCAGGGTTACCATGAGCTTTGACACCATTGTAGAGAACAGGTAGACCGCGGAGGAACTGAACACTTCAACCTCTCGGTCAGTAACTACTCCCAACTCCAAGCTATTCAACTACCAGAGAACCAGAGAACCAATCTCACAGTTGATGGCAGGCAAACAAGATTGGTCATTGGTCTATGGACTTGTGACCAGGTCTCAACCAACTTCTCATTGCCAGCACAAACTGCAAATGCACACTCCCTCCTCCGCACCAAACAGTCTACAACCACAACCTTCACTTAACAGGTTGTTCAGACAGCTATTTACAATACCTGCCATGAATGTGTTGCTTCCAAAACTTCAGTCAGCATTTCAGACTTTTTTTTTTTTTTTTTTTTAAAAAAGAAAACACCCCTTTCTCATCTCAGTCCACACAGTTTTTAGAAACAAAATAAGACATGGTCCTACAAACCAAACACTATAGTTTTAAGCCTCTTGTTACATTATTGGTACCATTGAAAAATGAAATTTTCATTAGAAGATGCAACAGCACTACAGGAATTCCTCAGGGTAACATCCAAGCTTCGGCTGTTTCTTCAACGACCTTCCCTCCATCAAAAGCTCACAACTGGATTATATATATTGATGATTAGTGTTCAGTTCTTTAACGAAATAGTCAACACGCACATGCAGGAAGAATTATACAATATTCAGAGCTTGGGCAATTAACTTTCACAATACACAAGTAACATGCCAAAATCATCTTCACCAAAGATTCTAACCATCATTTCATTGGCAGCCCATGTAAATATTTGTGGCTACAAAAGTAGGTCACAGGCTGTGAAGAGTGATTCATCTTCTCACTTCCAAAGCCTTTCCTTCATCTACAAGGTACTAGTCAGGATATAACGTCTCCGCTTGTCTGGATGAGCGCAGCTCCAACACCACACCAAGCAGCTTGTTACCATCCAGTACAGAATAGTCCTATTGACTGGTAACCCATCCACCACCTGCAACATTCACATGGTCCACCACAGATGCAGAGGAGTTGGTTGCAGTATGCACCATCTACAAAAGGTACACTATAGCTATTCATAAAAGGTTCAACAATGCCTCCTAGGAAGGCACCTTCGAGGGTCTCCCTCGCCAAATCAGGAGCATACCAATACCAACAAGGACTGCAATAGATCAAGTTGAAGCTCACCACCTCGTTCAAGGTCAACAAACCTCAGTAACAGCCTCATATAGAGCTTTTTCTGAAACACCTTTAAGATTGAACAATTGAACACAGAACTGTAGAGATAGGAAACAATAAGTTTTAGGGAGAAATAGCCCATTCAGGAGGCCTTTCAAGCTGGGAATGGGGGGCCAAGGAAGGGAATCACATTATTTAGCCACTTAACTGCTACTTTATGGCAGATTGGAACTGTATTTCCATACATTACTACAGTATTTCAGTTAGATATGTGATACTGTAAAAGATCCTAAGATGACAGCAGCACTACATAAATGTAGCATTTAAACAAACTAAAAATGCATAACACGCTGCAAATAGAATCAAATAAATTAGAGATAAAAACATAGAACTGTGCGAGTTTATAGGACTTTAATTATTCAATGCACATACATACAAAAGTTACACTGGTTCCAACTACTAAAGGTGAAATATTTACATCAACTTTTGCCATCTAGACAAATCATGGACACAATGAAATTCAACACACTGAAATGATCAAATATAGGCAGATTACATGCTGGAAACAAAAGATTCAAACATGTCAGAGAATTCAGTTAGTTAGCCCCCCTACCCAGTCAAGGTCTGTGATGAACTGGTCTGCAACAAGACAGAATGCTTAAAATGTCCCCCTGCTACTTCAGAAGGGGTCAGACCAACTGGCGAAGGTAGGTCAGACTTACTTACAGAAATCCTGGCTGGTGTTAATGCCACAGTGGCACTGCATATATACACAGACCAATGTAAAATGGTTGCAGGAACACAGGGACAAAGAAGTACGGATTGAATTCCGGATGTAATTTTAGAGCCAAATGGTGTGAGAGATGGCCACCTGGGATAGCAGAAGGAAGGAAGGATGGATGGAGTTGCAGCAGGGTCTTACCACTACAGAACATGGGACCATATGGAATATGCCCCGTGTGAAACTGACTTTGGACAAAGTGCAGAGGGGCTCTGATAAACCTAGAAAGCTCACTACAGAACCTTTCTTTCTACAGAACCAACTTTCGCATATCTATGCATTAAGCACACTCCTCAGACCAGGAGCACCAATGTGGAAAAGCATCCTTTTGGCTGAAAGAGGGTAGTAGACAGCCAGATACCACTGACAACACTGCCCGCATTTGTCCAACCATGACAGGTCTGCTAAAGCATGTCTCAAAATATGCATAGTTCGTAAACCATCAGGTGCTTATCACTGGCTTCTTAACACACCCCCAGGTATAAAAAAAAAATTTCTTAAAATAAGTCACAATTCAGAGATTTCCTTTACTTGAATCTGAGCACTTAGGAACCCAGAGTGCATATGTCATCCTGTTCAACATTCCTTTCAGAACCGGTATTGGGGTAGGGCAAGGGCATGTTAGGTAGTTTGAAAGGTCCATTTTAACAAAATACGTACAAAGCATAGATCAATGAACAATTGATATGTAGCATACAGATATTCTCAATCATACTTTAAACAAAGATTGTGTCACATAATAATAACCAAGACTAGAACGATCCATCTGAACCATTTACAAGGCAAGATTTTTAAAGAGAGATTTCAACATGAACTAATGAATATGTTTATGGCCTTCATTTAAACAAAATTTACAAATATCTACTGCATTGAAAAATGTTTAAAAACCTTACAGACTGGTGATAGGAACTTATGCAAAGGCTGCATTTAATTAGTGCAATAAAGCTTAAAAAAGTGAACTCATGCAAATCTACACTGACGCTCAGAGGATGTAGCCTTGACCAAAGAGCATCGTGTCTCTCCTGTGAAAATCCTGGGATGCTGAGTTCTTGAAAATACCTTTTGCTAGATTAGTTTTATTGCTGCAACAGTTAAAACATCTCCTTCAGCGTGAAGCAATGCAGTTTTTCACAGTTAGGAGTCATCTTGTGTCAGACAAAAAGTAAACAATTTTGTGCAACACCAGGGCATGCTATGGCTGATCAAGAACATAAGACACTTCTATATATCTCAGAGAAAACTGGATGCTATTAAGGATAGGGGAGATGAAGTCTCCAGGCACCGTAATCTGTAGTGAGTTTACTAACAAATTAACTCAAATTAACATAATCCCTAAAGGCAAGCCTTTGTTCTAGTAATAAAAATTCCTCTTTTTTTCTCCATTAATAATTTGTCTTGAGGTAATAAGTGTTTACTTGTAAATATAAATGTTTTTAAAACATCTTTGGATATAAAGGTGAGCGTTACTAGGTTATATGATCTAGAAACTAATGCAACATTTCTTGTTTTACATTGATGGGATACTATGCTGTGCCAGTTGTTGCAATGCATGGTGCCATCCAGACAGAGGATGCAAGTTTATGCCATGATTCCACATACAACAGCGCAAATTTGACAACAGTAACAGGGAGGGGATAAGAAGGTAAAGAAGCCAGGCTCTACCCAGAGAGCGCAGGTAACAGAAAAATTTAAACACAAGTTTCTCTGATCTTCTTGTATTTAGTTCAAGCAGATGACTTACTCACTGCAAAGGAAAATGGAGAGAACCTGTCGAAAGATGGTGATGGTGGTGAAGAGAAAGAAAGAGTGAGTGAGTTGGTAGGGGTTGGGGCGGGGGGGGGGGGGCGAAGTGAAGAAGGAAGAGGAGGGACAGTCTTAAAATGTTCTGAATATGTCAGAGAGAACGCAATGACATGCCATCACCACATGCATGTAAATTACCATATTCCAACGTAAGGAGGATTACTGATGACTGAAAATTTTACAGATAAGAAAACCGTTACCTATAAACTGCGATTGTTTTTAGGCCTCACATTAACATCTGCTTAGTGATTACGATGGCCAAATTCAGTGTCCGTCCCATTGAGACTTGATCTTAATACATAATTGTGTCCTAAATTCGCTTTTTCATTATTTAATGTGATTTGGTAAATATTAAACAGAGGTCCATGTGCCTACAAAAAACAAATCATGGAAAGGCTTAGCATTGGTATTCTGCAAGGGTCAGATCAAATAGATCTGAAGGGCCTTCTTCAGCTCAACCCATCAAATCTAAGTAATTGAAAACAAAAGTTCAGATTGCAAAGAGATAAAGTAAAAGATTATGCACCACACCACAAATATACAATCCTTTATGATTTGGTCCTTGCTTCCAGTTTACAAACAATGCAAAGTGCATTAAAATGTACAGTGTAAAAACAATACAGGGGTATCCATTGGTTGAGGGGCAGGCTATATGATTATACATTAACTGAAAAGGCTTTTTAAACCTCTGTTCTAACAGAGATAGAACAACTCACCGGGAGGAATGTTACTTACCAACTTTGGTTGAGCTCAAAATCAAAGCACTTCAAAAGTTAACTGGTAGCATCAGTGCAATTTATCTTTCAATCTTCAATTGTTTATTGTACTCTAGCTCTTTGTAACCATTGTAACTCACGCCATGTCCAATGATTCAGCTCCTCATCTATGCCAAAGGTGCTTTTGACGATCTTAAGCTTAATTTCTGCAGCTGGTGGTTTTATTGATAATGAGGGCAGTCAACTACAATGGTATTACAACCTGGAGGCATAAAGACCAGGAATGGGTGAGGTGCCATCTCTAATTAAAACCAAATATTCTCACCTTTGTCATTTCCTCTTTGTAAAGCAAAGCTCACTCCCCACACAATGAGCCCAATGTTAAGGTCAAACACACGTGGCTTCCCATGTGCCACCCAGGTTGACATGACTCAATACTGACAAAGGACTGAAACTACTGTGTGTCTCTGAATATCAACAAACATAAAAGAAATTATCTCTGTTGTTAAACACACATCAGATGGACAGGATTGAGGTATCAAAGAGCTAACAGCTGTTTACAAATCACACCAAGAGCAAGCATTTTCGATGGAAGAAAATTGGATTGGAGAAGGAAAGAAAAAAATGTCTAACTCACTAAGTGGCAAGTAAATTATCACTGATGCACCCTTGCTTGACAATTAATAAAGGATAACTGTAAACTTAAATTTAAAGATAAATAAATAATTACACCTAATTCAGTGAGCTTAACATACAACCAGTTGATTTAGAGTCACTATTTCACTTTTGTGGGTTTAATCACAGTTGGGAAAATTACAGGTTAAGACCAAGTTTGGGAACTTCCAACAGGAGCTTCAGCTTTGAGTCTCCAGAGGCTTGTCTAAACTCTTCAGGCTGTCCAGGAATTTTTCAGGAGTCAGGATGTGAGTAGAACCTATGAAGGAGTTAAAAGACAGACACGTTCTAGTGTTGGTCAAAGTATAGAACATCTTAAGCAAAAACAGCCTGACCCTCCTGAAGAGACCATAAGAAACAGGAGCAGAAATTAGGCCATTCGGCCCATTAAGTCTCCTCTGCCATTCAATCATGGCTGATAAGTTTCTCAACCCCATTCTCCCGCCTTCTCCCCATAACCAAACAAGAACCTTTCGTAAATATACTCAATGACTTGGCCTCACAGCCTTCTGTAGCAATGAATTCCAAAGATTCACCATCCTCTGGCTGAAGAAGTTTCTCCTCATCTCCATTCTAAAGGGTCTTTCCTTTACTCTAAGGCTATGCCCTCAGGTCCTAGTCTCTCCTGCTAATGGAAGCATCTTCTCAGTTCTCCTACAGAAAGTTTTCAAACAAAGGAAGATGCCCCCAGAAAGCAGTTCTACTTCAGGGACGAGAATGTCCCTGTTAAATGTGTATTATGTCCTTTAATACTTTTGCTCTTAGTGCATTCAATTACTCTCGATCCATTTGCAGAACTCACTAGAATGAGAATCCCAAACCATTTATTTCACAACTTGATTATCATTTGGCCAACATGAAGTGACCAATTTCATTTCTCATTCTGAATGACTCAATTGTCAAACATATCTCTCCCAATCATCAGAAATTATGCTTCTAACATCCAAAAATCCAATATCTCGCAGGTTCTTCCAAGTTCTCTCTCTAGATAAATGTAAACCATCTAGAACCCACACTAGTTACTCTACACTCTAAATTCTGTCAATATAAAACTTTCATGTTGGCACCCACAAGTGGAAAATGAACTAAAGCAATAAAACAGATTTAGGAGAAGGGTATTTTAAGTAGCCACCATATAACAATTCCAATTCCTGTCTGTGGAGTTAGGTGAAGGTCTAAATCTGCACTGCAAGTAACTAGAATTAATCTCACTTATGCAATTGTCATTAATGAACTAACCTCAAGTCACTGCACTTTCAGAAAAGAATAAGCCTGCTGCAATTGAACAATGCTGTTTGCTGTAATTTATAAATAAATTAGAGCCATAACACACAGCCTACCACCAATTTCACTAGCCAATAATTTCAATATTCATTCAGTTTTACACGTTGTATGATAGATAAATTTGGAATCAGAAGATTTTATGCAGAGGCTCAATGCACATTTGCAAGGGAACCAACGATGATACAAGTTTAACAGAAAATAACAAAGACAGGACTTACCAATCAACACCTCCCATTTGCTGTCAGTAGCCTTTGTTACTTCATATGCACTGCGCATCTCAGACATGGAGACACCCCCAATAACAAAAACAATGAGCCGGGGTCCAGTTCTGTACTCTGTTGGAGTCTTGTTCTTGTGCCAATGACCAAAGCGGGCACTTGAGGAAGCGACAAGGTTTGTTAATGTTATCCCATTTGCTATTAACAAAAAGGACTGTCACAGGGTTGTAGAATCTCAGCATTGGGATAATGAGATGCAAACACCCTCTTCATAAAGCAATGAATAAACCATCACTCTGGCTGGCTGGCAACTTTGGCAAAGTAACCATTTATTGAACATCTTCAGTAATGGTTTGATGCAACTGAATAGCTTGCTACTGCCTTCAGAGGGTGGGTAAAAATCAATGACATACTGTGCTACATTGTCTTGTGCCAATGACATAAGGACCAGATCAGGAATGAGCAGCAGGGATGTCCTGCTAAAGGACACCAGTGAAGTAGCTGGATTATTACAGACACCTTCAAAGCCACATTTTAGTGCCAGTTCTTACAATCTACGAACTTTTTAAAAAAAAAAAAAAAAAAAAAAAAAAAAAAAAAACTTAAATTCTCAATTTGCCAGGGTCGGCAAATGGCCCCAGTAATAATTTCTGTTCTCTTCTGAAAATGTTTGGATCTTTGCACAGCACTGGTATAGGAACAAAGTGACCAGTTATCTTGCCTACAAATGATGCAAGAAGTTTCGTAATTATCTAAAGTTTTCAATCCCAGCAGACGGAGAACATGGAACTTATCAATCACATACCTCACGGCTGTCTGAGTTGCTGCACTTGGGGCAGGGTCCGACACAAATGGCCACTGCTTTTTGCAAAGCTTTTCTTCTGTAGCATCCTATAAGATGGACAAGTTTTACATAAAGCATATATACTATTGCAAACTAATGAATGATAGTTTGCACAGAAGAATGAATACCTCAGATGAGGTGTCGAATACATAACCATTATGTGCAACATTTACACATTATGAACTCTATCACTTTAGGTATCAAGCATTTTTACAACTTCAATATGCCAAAGAACCTTTTTATTCACTATTTTTATTGTATACAAATCAATACTAATCTCCATCTCAGGTTTGCTTGTCAAAAGTAATACAGCTCACTCTTAAGAAACCCTGACGATAATCAGCTAGGAATGAGAGAGATACAGAGTTTACCTCCTATGATCACTGAATATGCAGCAGTCAAAGTGACAAGCAGCTCCCTGTCTAGATCAGAAACCCACACATTCAAATTACAACCACTGTACCTCCATGATATCTTTGATGACAGGAGTCCACCTGGAAAGTTGGTAAGTTGATTCTGTTCGTAATTTTCTTTCTGGTTTAGACTTTGAAGATGATCCACTCTTAAGATGAAGTTAAAACATATACAAGTTAACCACTAATTTCAGAAACGAGCATTTTCTGTCTTCCTCTATTTTCAAAGTGACTGGATTCCTGGTGCCCTGCTCAACCAAAACCCAGATCCTTTTATCCATCACTAAACACAATGTCCATCTTTACAACACCCTCCATTTGTCTCCCATACTGAAGCCAGCAGAAAATTTGTTTATACTATGGTCATCTCTGAGCTCAAGTTTTCCAATCACTGACCTTCCAACTTTCACAAACAACTGATGCAATGCAAGTTAACACCACCTCAGTGAAGCAAGACAGTGTACATAAATAATAGCACAATAGTCACATTTTACAGTTTTTGGCTGATTCTGGGGCAAAATCAAATCTATCAATACCAATTTAACATCTTTCTAGCCTCATCTGGTGTTTCATTACTTGCCTTATTACCATCTGTTTGGCTTGCAGCACCCATCCCTTTTTGCCAGTTCACTTCACCTGCCTCCCAACCTGTCAAAGACCTTTCCTTTTGTTCTCCTATCCTCCCCTGGCCCCTCCACTTGTTTAAAAAGTTGTTACATCTCTAACTTATCCCAGTTCTGATCAACCTGAAACATTGTTTCTCTCATCATGGAGGCTGGCTTATCTGAACACTTCCAGCATTTTCTACTTTTAGGAAACTGCCATAATTTGGGAGTCCACTTCTTTTTTACAGCTAGACTCAAAAAAATCATTATTGGGAAAGGATTACAGTTACATTTTTGATAAACTAAATTCTTATGTCTTTGTGCAGGAAACAGGATATAACTTTCTCGATTACTATACACAAAGCAAAAACTGAAAATGAAAATTAGTCGGTTTAAGTGGTGCATACCCCGGCTATGATGGTCGTACCCAGGTTCTGAAAGTTTCGGATGATGTTGCTGTCTTCCTGGATGTTTGCATGCTGAATAAGTTTGGTGAGGTTCTCTTCTGTGATCCCTGAAATGACCAAGCAGAGCAGGTTCAAATATAGGAAATAAGATGATAGAAATACAGTAAGAAAATATTTCTTAACTTTCCCCTTGTGGTTCCCAAAACCTCCACCAGAACCAATAACCTGACAGCAACTTAGCCATTCTTTGCATTGGTCACGTAACAGTGGATTTTGATAGTGGAAGACTGACGTCTTTATGGTCCCTTAACCCTGCATCACCAAACATAACTGATTTTCGATCTCAACTGCACTTTCAACCCTAAGCCCTTATCCTTTGATTCCCTCAGTGCCAAAAACTGAAGCGATCTCAGCCTTGAATAAACTCATTGCACAACCACAGGCTTCCGTGGTAGGAAATTCCAAGGACTCACCACCTACTAAAGTGAAGAAAATCCTTAGTTTTCAGTTTTGAATGGACAATCGGATCCTAATACGACATCAGCTAGTTCAAGATTTTCTATCCACAGGAAACAACTTCTCAGCATCAACCTTGTAAAGTCCTCTCAGAATCAATGAGAAAACGATGGCAGACTATTTTCATAGGGAAGACACCCCGACTTAGCTCATGTCTGTCATTAGCCAACGTGCACACAATAACGCCCCATAAAGGGTGACTGGACAGCGATCAGCAGTTAATGTTATTCTCTCAAACCCAACCCTAGCAGAGGCCAAATAACTCAGCAGAGAATGAACTCAATAACATCATGTGCATGGCTCAGTATAGGACCAAAATGGTGGAGTTTAAACAAGCCTCTAAACATTCAGATGGAGAGACTTTCTATTTAAGCTCAAAAGAGCCACTTTACTGAGTATACCAAAAGTTTGTCAAATTACATCAACTAATCTTTTAAATACTTATTTATTTAAATATGCTTCTTCTACAATAAAAGATACATTGTGTGCTCAAGGTCAAGGGGCACTAATTCTATGGAAAAGAATTGGTTGCCTGAAACGAACAAGCAGTGTCAACACAAGATTACAGTTCCATAGAATTTGCCTTCATCCCAACCTGAAAAATAAAGTCCATTTATTTTTTTCGGACATTTTCTAAATAAAAATTTAACTGGAAAGACATGGAAAATTAGCAGAATCAGGATCAACCTCTAGAACAGGCTCGTGTCCACATGGGAAGGTAGTGGGAAATGATACTGGACTAGTAATTTAGAGGCACAGGCTAACAGTTGGGGAACTGGGCTCAGATCCCATTATGGCAACTGTTGGAATTTATATTCAAAATCAATATAATCTGGAATCAAAAGCTAATCTCAGTAACAGTGTCCATGACAATAATCATGGATTATCGTAAAAACCCATCTGGTTCACTGATATCCTTTAGGAAGGGAAATCTGCCATCCTCACCTGGTGTGGCCTAGATGACTCCACATCCATAGCAATGTGCCTGACTCTCAACTACCCTCTGACATGGTCTGCCAACCACTCAACGCAAAGGTACAGGAATGGGCAAATGCTGGGCTTACCAGCAGCACACACAAGGAGCGAATTGAAAAAAAAAAGAACTGATGGCTCAAATCTATTTCACACTGACCAGCACAACCAGAAAAAACTGTCTGGCTGGATTTAAAGCCAGTATGCAGAGGCAAGAGGCCAATTCTAGGCTACCCTGCCACCCAGTTCTCCAGGGCCACTTACTGAATTTTGCTGTCACAAAGCCAAACCATCTCATTGAAGTGATCTTGCAAAACTGCTACCTGTTGTCAACTTCATTATTTTACCACACAATTACAATGCAGGTTTACACACAGAGTTAACATGAAGTTTGTCACCGAGATTGTTCCGAGATCAACTGAGACAAGTTGGTCACGTGAAAGGGGTGAATATTGGTGACCACAACTGCAAGACCGACACTGGGCAATGTTACACTATTTGAAATAAATATAAAAATGAATGTTCTGGAAGTTATGCTGGACCGTTTTTGAGGAAGATGTATAGAAGAATAATCCTGATTTTGTCATAGGGTTTAATGTTCGTATCCAGTAAGATCGGCACAATTATCTTCATTGGATCTTTGACCTTCTCTCCCTCTGAATCAGTGCCCATGGCAAGGTCCTGTTTATAGATCATAAATTCATTTTATTAATCTGACATACATACATGCTATATCATTACAGTTTTGCTTTTTGTTTTTACGTAGAACAACTGTAAAAGAATTTACTTTTATAATATAGCCTGGACATTTCAAAATACGCTTTCAAGCATACGCTTCGAAAAGCATCAAGCAAAAAGAATTTAGATAATTTCACGTTTAGTGTCACTGTAAATCAGTAACTGAAGACATTACTTGCCACAAGTATTGACTTCGGACTGATACACACACACACAATGTACTGACCTGCTCCACTTTACACATCTTTTCTACTGAGCCCTTAAAGTGCTTCATACAGTCTTCAACCAAGTGCAAATGTGTGGAGTACTAGAAGGAAAAAAACAAAACGATTACAAAGAGAGTGGCACCATTGCCACGGCAGTACAAATAACTGAGAAATAAGAGAATAGCAGGATTAATGTAGACAAAACAGGGAAACATCATTCCTTAACTTTAATATAAAATTAAAAGGAAAATAGCTCTTAAAGTTTAACAGTAAAGGACTTCAAATTCTTGAACTGCATCTTGCGCATTCCTCCCCATTCACTAGTGAGAGCTTGTAGTATAGCCCCTGTAGTTTTTCTGCCTTCCAACTTATACTACACATATTCATTGTTCTCCAATCCCCACTCCCACCAGACGTAGTAAAGTTTTGTGGTACTCACTTTGCTGAGTTCCTTCTGATACTGAGGCATTTTCTTTAGTATTTGAGAAAGATCCCGCAGATTAGCCTGAAAGAAAAAGCAAGTGTTTCTGACACTACTTTTACTTCAATTCTCTTCCCTTCCCTTCAAAGGGCTTGGTTCTTGTTGGAGTACACCAACATTGGCAGGCCAAGTAGCTACAATTCATGCTACAGCCTCAACACCAAGCCCTTCACAACTGAATTAAATCATATTCACACCTGGCAATCACTTTCCACCTGGAACCTGAAATGAGGGTCAAGAATGCAGCTGTAGGTGATTATTTTCCCTTTCCCAATCCACATGAAGCCAGAGTCCAATGGAGCCTACACCCCATTCAATTGCTGATCTGATTCCAGACTCTCCAGCAATACAAGTAAATAGAAAATCCTGCTAAAGAAACAATCCTCAACGTTACAAAATTGTAGCTCAAGTCCACTAAAAGGACTGTAAGTAGTAAACAGGCCACACTGAAACAAGTGATGTTCCATGTTGAAATATTTTAGTTGCTACACCACATAATAATGCCCATTACTAAAACTATTCTTTCACACAGCTGCCGTCACAGTGCAGTATACTGTTGCTCATCTTTAGAGCTGTACGTCAATGTCAGTTCATCTATGGCAGATTGTAACAAAGTTTACTTATTTTTTGCACTTATTTTACATGCAACAAATACAGTTATTGATTGGCACAAGTTTGGCAAGCAATGAAACCCCCTTCAGGCAACACTACTGTTGGAAGTTAACATTGCGATGGTGCATAATTATTTGTTATGAAGAAAGTCAGTAGAACTTGGGTTTTCATTTGGAAGGGAGGTCTCAGAGATTCTCTTGTTAGGGGTCATTCCCGAATATTCATTTTTAAACAATTGCTAGAACAAGACACACTGGTTAAAATTAGCACATATAGATTTTATACAGATATCAGGAACAGTATCATAAAGAGTGAGCAAAATATGGAGTGAACACAAGGATAGAAGTGGAAACAAAATTAACTTAAACTTAGAAAATCACTTTTTCTGCCACGAGGTTTAGTGTGGATGGGGACAATGACAGATAAAAAGTACGGTCTCTCTAGATGAACAAAAAAAGGATGCACAGATGGCCTTCCTCACCCATACCTAGCCATTAAGCTTATGTAGGAATGAGGAGTTTTATGTTTTATACATACTAAAGCTGTACAACATGTAAACTTCCCATGTTGCGATCTTGCACTAAATCAGGCAGAGCAAAACGTACTTGGATTTGGCAGCATCATTTTGTTGGTGGGAAAAACATCTCTGGATAAACTTCACAGCACAGATTGTCAGAGCACTGGGATGTCAGCAACGAAGAGCCAGAGCTGCTAACCACAATATTCCAAGCAAACATCAAACCACGTTATGGGTCTTTGATTGATATAGCTGATTGCTTCAGTGTGTCATTGTTTGGTAACATATCTACTGCATGTCAGCAGATTCAATACCAGAAAACTGGCTTTACAAAAAATGTAACGTTAAACAGTAAAGAACCAAAATTTAAAATTAGAAAATATTTATTTTACATAACCTACACAAAGGGGAAAGCTTGAAAGATGCAATTTTAAACAGACAAAAAAAAGAATTGGAGTTCATACCTAGAACAGAAGCACAGAAACAGACCATTCAACCCAACTAATTTGTGATGGTATTTATACTCCAGAATCTTCTGATCCTAGGCTTTCAGCATACCGTTCTATTTCACTTTCTCTCAAATACATCATATATTGATGCAAATATTTTCAATGCATGTGACATCTTTCTTTCGCACTGTAGCTTCCTGTTTTGTATGATCTACAACAGGAGTAGGCCATTCAGCCCTTCGAGCTTGCTCCATCATTCAATATGGTCACAGCTGATCATCCAAATGAGAAACCGGTTTCTGTTTTCTACCCATATCCTTTGATTCCCCTTAGCCTTAAAAACTATATCTATTTCTTGAAAACATTCAAGTGCTTTGGCTTCAACCGTTTTCTGTGGCACAAAATTCCACAGATTCACCACTCTGGGTGAAGACATTTTACACCCTAACTGCCCTCCTCAACAAAAGGTGAAAGAGAGGGACTTTAAAATTAGATTCGTATCCACCACAGCGTGTGTAGAGGGATCTGGAGACTGTCATGAACATTGAAGAAAAGTCTGCTCACCTTATCAGTTGTCATCCTTTTGCTTTCACAGAATGTCTTTAATAACTCTGTTACTTTCCTTCGGAGGAAAAAAAGAACATACAAAAAGGAGATTATGTCTATACGCTCTTAACCAATCCCTTCAAAAGGGTAGAATATGGTTAAAGTGATTTTTTGTATGGATGGTCTAGCCTTGTAGAACCTGGCCACAAATCCAACTCTCAGGAGAGAGGTTTGCACAAATCCCTTTATATGCATTCAGCCGGAATAATTTGCATTTACGCAGCACAGCAGGACATCAAACAGCATAAATTCCCACCACTTTAGAATTGTTCTGTGGATTCAATTGTCAGAAGTCTGTAATAACAGCTATCACATTGTTTCTGGATTAGAACTGGAGTATCATTCAATCATCCAACTCCAGCATAGAGTATTCCATCAATCAGTCTTTTCGTCCGAGTGGTGGAGATTATTCTGAGCACTTTTCTAAACCCAGGTGCCTCTATTTCAATCCCAGCCTTTAAAAGTCTTCTTACAGCCTAGCTGTCACTTAATTCTATTATACCTTGTTTTGATTTTAGAAAAAAAAACACACACTCTGGAATGGCTTCCTAGGTTGCTTGAAAAAAAACACCTTTAAAAGAAAGTACAGGTTGATATTGTTAATTAATTACATTAATTTAAATGATGACAGCCTCTCGGAAATAAACTCCCAAATTTTAACCTTTCATATGTTAAGCATAGGAAAATACAATACAATTTGGAAAAAACCTTTAAGTTTTATTCAAAGAAAGACTGTGATATACAGATAACAAAAGTTGTTGTATAACAAAATGTCTCACACAAGGCTATGTCCTGGGAAAATTCTGATGCACTAGGGGGACAAAGTGAGATTGTACTGCTATTGTAGATTGCTCCATGGAATCCCCAGTCGACTGAGATCAAAAACATTTCTTGAGCTATACAAATTGAAATGATATTAAAGCAGACTTAAGAATTTAAAATTAAGTAACTTCTATACCTCATAACTCAAATAATAAATTACTTCCCTTCCCCCTTCAGACAATAACATCAGTGTTCATCAGCAAAGACTGGGAGGGATCTGCCTTTAGATGAATTTATACGTAAAGTTAATTAAGTGTAATTTTGTCAATTTTCTCACCAGTGCCATGCTATAGCCTCTACAAGGGAAAGTAACCTGAAGTGGAGACACAGCTGTGGGTGGGGCCATAGGAAAGTTCTTGAGAATTATGATTGTAACTTTATTAATGGTAATATGAGCCTGTGCATGTAGAATTAATTCAGTACAGTAGTGACTACCCTTAAAAGTATTAAATATCTGTAATACACTTCAACATGTCCAGCGTTGTTTAGATGAACCTCTTTCTTTCCTTGCTCTTTAGAAAACTTCTTACTACACATTGCTTTTTTTAAAAACACTGTGGATGCACTCCAATTCTTGTTAATTTTCTTGAGTTCTCTACCCAAGCTTGCTCCACCTTGACCTTCACAATAGGTAGAGATGTTGATCCCAAATCTACCCTAATCAGAACAGGAACTGAACCAGTGTCGTTGGCAGCACACTGATCCATCTGAACCAACAGGTTCTCCATTCCAAAAGAATCAGAATTACACCCAAATTCAGATTGCTACAACATGTTGTAGCTTAGATAGTGACATGAGAGGCTCCGATTTCTTTCCATAAGATGACTGATGAGAAATCTTTCTGCCTGCCATTGGCATACATTGAACAGCAACCTGTAACCCTTTCCAAATATGTTTGGCTCATTATAAACATAACTTCTTCGGCCATGCGAAAGGGCTTGAACCCGGAGCTTTTGCCAAAAGCACAAATCTGCCTGTGTATTAATTATGTGGGAATAATTACTACTTGTTGCTTTAGATTACATTCAAGAGGCTAAAGGGGATGGTTGCTATAAATTAAAACTTTGATGGGTAGATGTCAGTTGTTGTCAGGACTAGGCTGGAAATAATGATAGTGTGAGCAAACTTGCTATCCTGAACAGAGGTAGTGCAGATCTGGTTCTGAATTTGCATTTACAAAGCAACAATGGCCTCAGGTCATTTCAAAGCCATTTACAGCAAGTTAAGTACTTTTGAGACAGATTCACAATTCCAATGTAGGGAACGTGGCAGCCAAATTCCACAAGAGACTGTGTGGAGTTTGCACATTCTCCCAGTGTCTCCATGGATTTCCTCTGGGTGCTCCGGTTTCCTCCCACTGTCCAAAGATGTGCAGGTTAGATGGACTGGCCTTGGGGGAATGCGGGTTACAGGAATAGGGTAGGGGTATGAGTCTGGGTGGGATACTCTTCGGATGGTCGGTGTGAACTCAGTGGCCCAAATGGCCTGCATCCAAACTGTAGGGATTCTATGAAAATTGCAGCGTGTCTAACACCAAGTGATAACAAGGACATACTTGGAGACATCAGCAATGTGCATGTGGCGCAGTTGCAGCCAAAGCTCATCATCCTCATCTAGGAGTGTATCTTTCACTCGAGATTCTGCAACTCCTGCAGTTTCATACCTGAAAAACAAAACAAAAAAGTTCTCCAAATCCACATCCAGAAATACTGCGAATTATATGTTGGGTCTGCTTCAATACACATTGCATTTGTAAGTCTTCCTTCCTTTCACTCAAGAAGATAATCGCTTCAACATCTAAACACAATTTTTTTTAAAAACATTGAAATATTAAAAATCAGCAGCTAAAACAAAAACTTCCAATTTTAGTTTACATTGGAGCCCTGAATTGCTACCATTGACACCAAAGACAATGTCCTCTGAAACAGACAAACTGGGAATAAAATATCTGTAAGGTATTGAGAGGAACTCCTGAATACTACGGAAAAATTTCTAAATGCCAGGGTTTTAAATGCTTTGTTTAAGTTGATTGTTGCTGTACACATTGCCATCCTCAATTTTAATGGAACTCCTTTACATCATCCATCACAACTCTTGACATAATGCACCGGAGAACAGGATAATGGAAATTTTGCATTGACGCTTCAAAAACTTTTTATTGGAGTAAATTTTAAAACATAAACTTACGAATAAATGTCTTGATCAATTGGTAACAAATCATAGGCCATAGCCTGGAGGGTCAGCTCGTGCAGGATTGGTGACACTGGGTCGTAGCCCCGGTCGACTATCAGCAGCTGCGAACGGGACTTTTCAGGACCCTAGACAAAAATTGGAGTGGAAAAAAAATAAAAAAGGAGGCACAAGATAAAGGACCATTCGGCCCGATGTGATTTGTCTGTATGCAAAATAATCCCATTTTATGCAATGTGGTGAGGTCACAAGAAGCAACTGAGAAATTTTCCCACATGACAAACAGTTAAAGTCTGGAACGAGCAGCCTGAGACTGTGGTGGGGGCACAGTCAATTGTGTCATTCAAGAGCGAACTAGATTATTATCTGAAAGGATCAATGAAAGGGGCCAAGACACAAAAATGATCCATTGCTCATTCAGATCAGTTGGCCAAATGGTCTCCTTCTGTGCTGTAACAATTCTGAGAATGTGAATAAATGAAAAGCAGTTCAAGAAAAATAAATTAGTCCATCTTCAAAGACAGCTGTACAGAATACAAATAAACATACAAGCACTAGTCAAGATGGGTTTTAAGTAAAAATCTAATTGCCAGATTAACTTTTTTGTCGACCAACATTACTGCAGCAGAAGGTTATTTGTGGCAAATTGCTACAGATTGGTGAAGACCTGTGGTTTGCAATGTTCAAAACTTGCAGGTGGAGGGTGCTGTTGCACAACGAGTTACTCTGCATTAGCAGATGGAAAATCCCAATCCCTCCCTAGTGTTTAGCAAATTTACCGACCTTTTATTCAGGTTTAAGATAACAGCTTACGGCTGTTTCTCAATAGGTTAATTGTAGAGTGACTTCAACCGGCAGGATTTTGCTCTAATGAAATTTCAAAGTATTTTCCCTTAACGTGGAAGTTTGGGAAAATAAAATAAATCCAATGATACAATTTGGACTTCCCAAAAACACCAATGTGTGACATTTATCCTAAGGTAGGGTGGCAATAAATGTAAAACACTACGCAAAAATTCTTCATTAACATTTCTACCATGTGTGTCTTTGAGAATGCAAATACCAATTCTAAAGAATTCTATTTGGAAATATCAGAATCAGAGAGAAAGGCAATAGCGCATAACGTGTTAGATTTTGCAGATAACTGACCATGGAGATCAATTATACATGATATGAGTTGCATTTGAAGATACTGTTAAAAGGTGCAATCTAAAACAAAGGCACAATGCAACAAAGTGGTGGAATACTCTCTATTTACCTGGATTGGGACAGCTCCAACAACACTCAAGAAGCTTGACACTGTTCAGGACAAAGCACTCGACTGGCACCCATCCACCACCTTAAACATTCACTCCCTTCATCAGTGATACACAATGCGGCATTGCGTACCATCTACAAGATGCACTGCAGTAAATCAACAAGTCTCCTTCAACAGCATTTTCCAAACTTGTGACTACTACCAACTAGAAGAAGGACAGAGGCAGAAAATGCATAGGAACACCACTACCTGCAAGTCTCCTGTGAAGCCATATACTATCCTGACTTATAGGTATTAGTGTTATTTTGCAACTCAGGTGCAGCAACTTCTCCATTTTTATCACTGCACGATCAGTAACAAGTAAAATAGCCATAAATTGATGGTACTTTTTAAAATCTGATTCTATTTAAGCTGTGAGCAATTCATGCTCTGTGGATGAAAACAAATGGGACAGCACACCTGCCGTCCTGCTGCCCATTTTCTGTCCGCCTCAGCTGGAAGTGATTTCCATACATTATCCACAAATGGAATGCCATGCTACCGGCCAAAGCAACAGACTAACTACACCAACAGCAAGACAAGATAAAAACAAAGGATATTTGAACCATTTTGAGGGAAATGACGCTGACACAGTGATAACCCAAGACTGTCCCAGCAGATACTAGACATCTAGTCATACAATATCCTTTTGAGAAATTAGATGGCCGGTGCTAAGAACCCAAGTAAGGCAGCAATCAAAAACAGAAATAATGCAACAGATTAAGTCTTCTATAATATATTTTGTCATCTATTGCTGACAGAACTTTAAAAATAAGTTGATTCTTTAGGAAATAGACATGAATAAAGGACTCCAATATAGGTGAACAAGACTTAGGCTTTAATGGGAGATTGTCTGGATAACAAATTGTCAGCTGGGCTCAGCAGGGAACTACAGTTCCACTAAAAAGGAAGGAAATGCATGGAACGCATTTACTGCGGAATTGCTTTCAACATCAGAACAAATTCAGAACGCTGACGCTTACAGACTTATAAATTATATTAGTTAGTTAGTTTCGGTCTGCATCTTTCTGGTTGTGTTAGAGGAGCAGGCAGCTGGGGAGGATAAAAAGGAGAATTTAGGTCACGAACATAAAGCCAAGATGCTGGCCTGTTACGTCTGTACACAGTCCTTTAATATCAGAGTAAAGCGGCACACAGAGCATTGAGTCTTATAAACTGCTTTCGCCATGTGCCATCAGAAGCCTACTGAAATCCTCAACACTAATCACTTCCAGGTACATACAACTGATAAAATTAATCAGCACCAGAAGGCTAAGAAAACTTGGGAATATACAAAAAGTTATTCAACTTCCTAGCAGCTCCAAACCATGTGAGACTTTGCAATTGGCAAGCAACCCCAAATCTTTATCAACATGATATCTGATTAATACAGCACATGGGTCTGCGGTTAGTGACAACGTCAGCAAGAAGTAATTAATCCAATTACTTACCTAGCTGCATCTTTACCAATTCCTCCATTTACATCATACATTGAACTAAATACACAAACATTCAAATCAACAGCCAATATGCTGTCCAGAAAGCCTTCTTGAGAAGTAATTCCATGGCCTTGAAGCTCTTTGGGACATCGTGAAGGTGAAGGCTATGGGCAAAGTGCTGGAAGGTGGGCCTAGGGTAGATTCAGAGGAGTTTTTTGTCTGTGCAGACTCGATGGGCAGAAGGGCCTCTTCTGTACTGTATAATTTTATGATTCTAACATTATCTTTCTTACCTCTCCCTTTAATTGATTGTCATTCAACTACTTTGAATCATACTTTTTTTCTCAAGCTTCCAGAACATTTTTTAAAATTAGCACAGCACAATTAAATGGCTTGATCTTATTTTGTTGACATCATTTTGCACAGAATGTCCATCAAGTACAGTGCATACCTATCAGTTTTACGACAGAACACACTTTGCAAAACGTGCAGGTCAATGCCACGTATGCAGAAAGCTACTACCAAGAACTGACCGTAGATCTGTTGGACAAAGAATGAGACACACAGTAACATGCACCGAAATAAATGCATGGTTATTTACCCTTGGCTGAAATGTGATTGTTCGCATTCTGGAAGAAAGAACAGGAGATTGGAAAATGGACAGGGAAGCAAGGGACAAAAGGAAAAAAAAAGACAGTTTAAAGCAAAAGAAAGATACATTGCAATGCAGACCAATAACTTGAGACCAGTTCACTTCAGAGTCTTGGCAGAGCACTCATTTTGACACATTTGTACTTGGCATTATAAAAAAGTGTTAAAAGTTTAAGTCTACTTTCTAAAATCTGTGATCTGTGGCGTTGCTTACAAGTAGAATGGAGCACAATTACAGTGTTTGATGTTGATATGCTCTATTGATTAAGGGCTCTTCATGGCCAAATCTGGGTAATTGAGATGGACCTGTAAGTATAAATTTATTTTAGCTCTCTGGTTATTTTCCTGGTATTATTTTTTGAAAAGGATTAATATTTACCACGAGCAAAGCTCTGAATTTTCACCTGATGAAAACAAAGAATACTTAAAAATATTCTTGAAGCTGAAAAATCAAGTCAAACTGGTCCATTATCAAAATGGCCAACTATTCATTACATTAGGATTCTGCAGTAACAGCCGAGAACAAATAAAAACAAAAATTTGGAAGTAAATTTTTAAATAGTAAAATCCAAATTCTGAGGGAGAAACATGAACAAAATTACTCTCAACTACTTGAGTGTGTTGACTCTTGTTGGGTAACATTTCCCTGGTGACAGACATCTGCAAAGAGGCCATTCATTAATTCGCAGCCAAGATAAGTGTCTCTACCAGAGAACCAAAAGGCCTGGGTTCAAGTTTCACCTGCTCCAGAGGTGTGTAATAACATCTCTGAACAGATTGATGAGGAAAAGTTAGGAAAATAAACAAAAGACAGACTATTCAAACATTGAGGCTATCACATTAGAATTCTGTCAGCTGTTTGAAACCTATGGGTATTAGGTGCTATTTCTGGAAAGTAAGTCATGAGCTCAATAGGTGTGACGATGCTGTGGCTTTAAGAGGTGCGTTTTGTCCTGGTTTTTTTTCCAGAAAGATTAGGGGACAGGAGCCGAGCAATCTATGAGAAGATAAACAACTTGTGAAGCCTTAGGTGTTTTATTTTTTAAAAAGGTTGGAACAACAGAAGCAGCCTGAACGGGTGTGGTCAAACTCCCACAGAATCAGGTTCTTTAGCTTTCAGCAATTGCTGTTGAGGTCTTGAAGAAGTGAAAGCTAATTTTTCCCCTCTCTGTTACAGCAAAAAGCTGGGGGTTCTGTGTTTGCGACGGGAGTTACATGACACAATCCGTGTTCTGAATCTGCCTTTTGCCAGGGATGCTGTTGTGGGATGTTACCATACTGGAACAGTTAATGATAGTATTACTGTATTTATTTTTGTATTAAGTTTTCCGAGAGGGTTACGTTATTCCAATTCCTTCTTTCTTTTGTTGTATTTTAACTATAGCGAATGAATAAAGTGTGTTTTGCTTTAAATCCAGTAGTTTGACCAATCGAATTGCACCTAGAATGCAACACCTTAGATTTACCTTTAAAATAAGAAAAGGCTAGGGTATAGACTATTTTAAATATTTTGAGGGAGTTTGGTCAGGTCCGTAATAATAGGCCACACAAGTGACCTAGGATTAGGAGGGAAGTTGAAGAGAAGGAGACCTAGGGAGGATGTATTGGAAAATAAGTATTTTGATGAGCACAGGTAAAGATAAAGAGATGTACAGTTGTGGTATGAAGCATTTCCATTTTTACTCTATCCTACCCTCTTTATCCAAGCATTTGATTGTTGGGAGATGTTCAATTAAACCCATCATATATAGTTGCAAGTCAAATTTCATAGGAACAATAATTGCCCTCCGTGGTAAATAAGAGTCGGCCAAGCCAGTACTAACTTAGCATTGATGTATTAAAGACGTAAAATTTAACAAAGTTACTGTCTGTTTAAATCCAAAATTAGATCATAGTAAAGTTCTGTTCATGTTAAAAAAAAAAATTGCAAGCTGTGGGAATATTTGACTGAAGAACCCTGGCTCAGAGCAGTTGCCAAATCTCCACAGGCAAAAGTACTGGAGCTTAGAAACTGCTAAAAGCAAAAAAAAAAAAAGAAATTGCTTTCACATCCTGAGTCAATGGTATATACTGCTAGATCAGCTTCTGCACACATCAGACTGCCTTCTTAGCAAGCCGCTCCATTAGAGTTGTTATTATACTGGTGACACTTCAGTGCCTCTTCATTTCCTCTTCCATCCCACTCCTCAATGATAACAAGGAGGCACTGCGTAACCACAGAGAAATGCTTCAACATGCAAATGTTTTAGTACTTTAAAATGAAATATACACCAAAATCTCTCAGATTTAATTTATGACCAATTTCAAAGCCCAATTTCCCCCCAAAAAACTGACGCGTGACTATCATACAAGGATTATACAGCATAAGGGCTATTTGAGTACAAGGCCTTGCTTTGACTAATTCTCGCGTATTCCTTTAAATCTAATATTCACACTGCTGTTTCTCGGCAAAAATGGCAGTTCTTCCCCAATGTTGTCGACTTTACAAATATTTTCGGCAAAAAAAAGGCATAATTAAAAATGAGACAACAGATAATGAATTGAACAAGTTGGTGATTAATATTACTCACCTCCCCCATGCTGGGATTATCAGCTTTGTATGCATTCAGTTTGTCGTGAATTAGATTTGCCAAAGTTGCATTGATTTCTGGGCCCCTAGAAACACAACAAGGAACTTAAGTTTTGCACACCAAATGATAAGTGCCACCAGCTGCATAAGCTTGCGCTGTGGGTTTTGGAAGCTCAAGCAGCGGCTGGCGTCACTGCAGTATGTTTGTGATACAGAAAACTACATAAATAGCACATTCAGAAAGGTGGTGTAGACAGGGACATGAAAGCAGATAGGGAGGGCAAGCAGTTGGAGAGTCAGACAGATAGTGCAGGAGTCCCCTGGTATGTTGTTCACCAACCAGTTTTTGAGAAGGATGATGGATAGGAAGACAGCTGTAATCAGGGATTAATTGGTTGGGGGATGCAGACGTTTCTGTGACCATGGATGCGTCTCCAGAATGATATGTTGCTTCCCTGGTGCCAGAGTCAAACATGTCAAGAGTGGCTAGAGGACATTTTTGGGAGGGGTTCAGGGAGGGTGAACAGCCACACACAGTAGGCTATGTGAGATTGGTAGGACACGGGTAGGAAGTGGGGCTTGGTTCTACAGTCAGAAATTAGGTGCTATTCTTGAAGTCCTGTTAATCTTCTAAGCGATCTCTGGATGACTTTCAGAGTCACATACAAGTGAGTACAGAAACAGGAGCAGAATATAGTTGAATGAATGGCTGGAAAAATGGGAGGACTCCGTATTTCTGGGCTGGCTCTGGGAGAGGTGGTTCTTGTACAAGCCAGTGGGTTGCACCAGAACAGAGCTGAGACGGAGTTTCTCACAGGGCGCTTGCTAGTACTGTTGAGAGGCCTTTAAACTAGCTGGGGTGAGAGCCAGGAAAGTATAATCAGAGAGTAAATAACAAACAAAACACAGAGACTGACAGCATTAGAATAAAGAGAAAGGAAAGAAGAAATGTATTCTAAATGACTGCAGGTTTGTGAATGCAGAGTATAGTCAGTAAGATTGGCAAGTTACAGGTGCAGATTGCCAAGTAAAATTATGATGTTGTGACAATAAACAAAGATATGCCTCAAGAAGGGAAGGACTGGGTGTTAAATTGTCATGGTTATATGATGTTCAGGAAAGTAAAAATGAAGGGGTGGCAGTATTGGTTAGGGAGAGCATTGCAGTGCTGCAGAAAGAGGATGCCCCAGAAGGTTAAAGGTAAGAGGAGTAGGGCCAATTAGAGACCAAAAAGGGGATTTGCATATGGAGGTGCCAGATTGGCAGAGGTGTCAAATGGATACTCTGCATGGTCTTTATTCAGGATAACTGAATATTGCTTCTATTTAAGTCCCTCTTGAATGCCTCATTTGATACTGCCTTACTTAAACGGAAACAATATTCAGGGTTAAAGGGAAAGGCAGAGTGGCACTAAGTTGTAACATGTTCAGAAATAGAATGCAAAGGAAGGGCTGAATTAAACCCAAACACTTCAGTCATCCAAAGACCAAAAATGGAAATGAAAAGGCTACATTTGACATACACAATTGTTAAATATCAACATTACTTCAAGAGAAATTATACGCAAAGTATATGCCCCAATTTCATGCATACTCCAAATGACTATCATTCCCAAGAATGAATTCTGTCATGCTAGTCAGCAAACACACAGCTAAACAGAGCAAGGGTCAGCTTTCTCCCTGTTCCAAATTTTAGGCAGCATCTCACTTCAGTAACAGCATCAGTACGTTTTCAATTTCCTACATAGGTCATCTCCCTGACCATGATATATTACCAACTCATATGGCAAGATATTGAGTTGTAGGCTTGCTGCCATAGAAGCTTGTTAACAAATATTTAAACTCAATTACCAGCACACCTTTGAGACAACCTTCACTACTAAGTGATCTCGTTCTGTGCTATATTATTCCATGTTTCTGTGAAAGGACATTGGTATAAACCACAGCATTGAAAACTCCTCAAACTGCAGTTTGTAATTTAAATTCTTTTCCCCAAAAAAAAATTTATAGGAAAAAAAACTGAATTCTGTTGTATTTCTATTTCATGCCTTTTTAACAAAATTTGGAAGCTTGAAAAAGGAGAGAGATTGCAAAACTACTTTTGCAGAAATGCAGTAGCAACAGCCTCAAAAAATCCTATTTGTGTTTCACTGAAGCATGAAGGAAAGGGTAGGTTGGGTGCCCAAAATCTTGGTCAAAGTTCTGGATTTTTAAAAATTGCTTTCTAAAAGCAGGACAGTGGAGTGACAGAGGGAAGTTCAAGATGGCTGAAGACCTGATTACCAATTGTAGGGAAAGGAGCAAGAGCTAGAAGATTACAGACAGGAAGGGGCAAGGGTTATCAAAGAATTGAAGGCTTAAATATTTAAGTAAAATAGTTAATTGGAAGAGAAACTAATGTAAGCCAGCAAGAACAGGTTGGAATTGATTCTGAGTAGTGTAACTTCAGATGCTTTACTGGCTTGAATTGAAGCAGATTTTGTCAGCTTCATTTGAAACAGGAAGGAAATGATGTTAAACTCCATATGTTGTATTGAGTGTGTATCTAGCTCCTTGTGTCTGTCACCGAGATCTTCATTCATAGCTATATCAGCTTTAGTTCAATTATTCCAACTCCTTTTACGGAATTCAGAAATAGAAGAACTTAAGATGAATTGTAATTTATGGAGCTTGACACCAATCAGAAGGCAAATGAATAATACAACTATTCAATTACAACATGATGAATATGTGTCTTAATTTCATCTATTTGATGCAGTTCCATAATCTTTAACACAAAACCCCTCAAAAGACCGATTCAGATATTTTCAACTGACCGAGCCTGAACTTTTTTTTTTGGGACTGGAGGGAGGCAAGATTTATAGCCCTTGGCCTGTCACTTTGGTATGCTAGGAAGGAGAAACCATACTTTGATCTCAATGAGACTCGTGAACATACTTACTTCCTATATCTCACAGCTGGATATTCCTTCAATGTTTCACATAATGTTGCAATCTGTTCAGCCAGATCCTCCAGGAGCACACTATTACCATTTGCAGGGTGAGAGCTGAAGAAGTGATGGAATGAATCTGGACAATCCAGTGAGAACACCTTATGGAGATCACACACACTGTCACTGGAATGCCAGCATTGAACATAAGCACACTACACCATAGGCAAGTACACAACAAGTATTTTATTCAAGAAAAATACGAAACATGACTAAGTACTTTTGACAGAATGCAAGATAAAGCCTGCTTTGAATTCAACTTAAAGCAAAAAAAAATTCAGGTTAATATTCTCAGGGTTTACTTTAATAATGCAAGATTATTACAGTAATAAAGCTGTTCAAGGAATGAGATTTATCATGCCAAAAGGTGCATATTAATAACTTTAATAAGTGGTTTGCCCTCAAAGGCAACTGTATCTATGGAACTGCCACAAAAGTATTAATTATTCAATCCTGAAACAATGGAGTGCCCTCTGGTTTAAAGAGCAAGGTTTATTCTATAGATATTTAAAAATGTTCTGTTATGAAGAAGAAAAAACACACATTTATATTAGTTTAAAAAAGTCAAAACATGGTAAAGCAAAACTGCTGTCAAAAATCTGAATTCCATTTAAAGTTATTTATCACAATTTTAACTGTTTCTAACTTTACTGTAGAAGAAATTAAAGGTATGTCAGATTAACTTGAAATGAAAATGCAAGTGTGTCATTAGTGTGGCAAAATGCAACTGCCACTCATGCATGCGCACTGCAACACGAGAAATGCTGTTCATGGTTAAAACGATGCATGATTAAAACAGCTGTCTTGCAATTACTTACTTGGGATTCAAGAGGAAGGAAAGATGCATGAATTTCTTTGAGGGTTTTTACTACTTTTGTGCACCGTGATCTTCCAAGCTCGGTAAACAGCGACTCTGGGCAGGCTGCAGAGAGCAAAAATTGGGACTGAAACCAAACCAGATTGATCAATGTCCAACAAAAATTTTTAGTTAGATTATCTGTCATCACAATGGCTAACTTACAAGGAAGGATCATGACCAATTACAGCAAGTTCATATAGATGGTGACTTCCACCAAACTATTAAATACATAAAAACATTTAAAGTGTGGTTTCGTGTGAGATAAGATTTTATTATTTTGTTATGCTTTGAGATAAATCCAGTTTTATTTAAGTTTCTCTTATTTGCTCTCCTCTATCCATTCCACCTGACAGAGAGCGCCCCTCTGGACTACATGCAATACAGAGGTTTACTAAAGGTCTAATTCTAGGGCAGTATTAGTTACATTTTTAGGTTGGAGTTAAGAAAATGTTTGCATTATCACTGATAGATTTTTCATGAGAAAAAGTCTATGGGTAAAGCTGTTATGTAGGGGCACTATGTGGCATGATGGTGCACTTTGGCGCTATCACATTAGTTCTATCTGACCCCTCAATTCCCAACCTACCAGCATACAATTCGTAAAAGATGAAGACAACACTTTCAGTCTTGGGGAGGGGAAGGCATGAGGTGGGACAGAAATTTTAAAAAGGATTACATGTAATTTTCACAAAATGTGTAAGTGTAACACAAGTTAATCCAACTAGAGAACTCTGCACCTGGATGAACACCTAGAGAGAAGCAAACTGGCCCCAACCAGAAGTCAGAAAATATCAAACCAGCATTACATTGAATTCTGTGCATACAGCTGACCATACCTTGATTATGGTCAATACAATACATTTTACATCATGAGAAGTCAGTGCAACCCCAACTTTACAGGTAGCAGCACTTCAAATGGAACAATACTTTAATCCTATTTACCATGAACCACATCCTTCCCAAATTCTTGTCCACATCCCTTAAACAGCTACTTGCACTACATGTTCCAGTAACCCCATGGTGTAAATTGAACCATACGTCATATGCTCTTGGATTCTCATGCAGAACTATGGAAAGCATGCATATCATTGTTCTCCCAGAAAGGCTCCAAATCATGCATGTTAAAAAATGCAACATTTGGAATAGCAATAAATTTCAATGTTGTTATTAGCTCAGATTAAAATTGGGAAAGGAACAAAACTGGAAACATTAACACTCACTGTCAATGAAGAATACATGGGCTGCTTTGTACATAAATGTTGGAGTGTCTTTGAAGTCATTAATCAGGGCTCGAACAGACTAGAAAGAAAAAGATAAAAAGTAGTGCCTACAACTAAAACAGACCAGAAATATACATGCATATTTTGCTCATGATGTAACTTACAACTCTAGCGTATACAATGAACAACTACTCCATACTCCTTGGTGGTGTGAAGAGACGACATCTGGTCTTGAAATGTTAGCTTGCTCACTCTCTCTACTAATGCTGCACGACCCGCTGTGATTTCCAGTGGTTTGTATTTTCAGTAATCCATATCAAATGTGAACAGTAGGGCACTTACAGTTTAATGGTTATTGCACTAAATGAGCAATGCAACTGTTGAGAGTTCAAAACCCATAAATTATGAAATTAAGTTCATTAAGTTTGGAAATATGGTGGGTTGGGAGCCAACAATGACTACCATAAAACTGTCAAAATTTAATATGTTTATTCAGTTGTAACATTTTGAAATATCTTCCATCAGAACTACTCTGAACAACTAAAATATCAATCCATTCTCTTTGCACAGATCTTTCTTATTTCCAGAATTTGTGTCTTAATTTCAATTATCTTTCTGCTCAGAATTCAAAATATTAAGCTAGTTTTTCCTCTGAACAAAATGCCAATTGGCCTACAATATATTTCCAAAAGTTTTGCCTTTTATTTCAAAATTGCCAATATTTGCAGTTTGCTCTTTTATCTGTAATGCAGGATAAATAATCTAAATGGGATTGAAATAAAGCTGAGCTGGGGGTAAAACAGAGGCAAGAGAAGGGAACATCAGAATCATGAATCAGAAATGCCAAATTCTCAGATGAAATGCTTAACAAGACTTGTCAACCCATTTAACCTTCATAAAATCAGAAATCTGACCACTGAGAAATAAAGCTGACAGATCAAATACAATAGATCCTGCAAATGTCACATACAAGTGCTTTAAAACTAGTTTTAATGTTGCACAAAAGGCCCACAGTAAAGGGAACTGGCTCCTGCCATGCAGGCCTGACAAAGGATCAGCACTCCAACAGCGTATTCTGGTACATTTGCTGAAGAGAGAACCCATTTTATTGATTTTACCAAAACCATTAAAAACATTTACGACTACAGTACCTAATTACATTTATACATTGCCTGTACATAGAAAAACACCCCAAATCACTTCATAGAAGCACCATCAGATCAAAACTTGCATTGAATCAAAAATATAAGGGGGTGACTAAACAAGAGGGATGAGACATAGGAGAAAATTCAATCATGTGGGGCCAGTCTTACTGGTAGAGTACCACATTTCTGGCCCTGGGATCATCAGTTCAGTTATTCGGTGCAGTCACTAACTGGAACCCAAGAGTCTTTTTTTCCAGATGTACAAGTAATGGAAATGGTTGATATGGCAACACAATTTATAAAACAGGGACATACATTGTATAGTGACTCAAATTTTTAAATGACTAAACTGAAATTGATGCTGAGATTAGGTTTGAAGATTATGTCTACTTTACAATTTGCTGCCACTTGTTTACAACAGCCAGAATTTGCAGCTAAAATGCCAAGTTTTTAAAAAAGAATTCCAGAAAAAGTCAGATTGCCCTGGATATTTGAATACTATCCTTTTACTGCTAAAACCTGTGCTAATTCCAACCCAGAGAAAACAGATTTAAGGAATATCACTATTCTAGCCGCAAGTTCATGTAGTCAGGTAGTACAACTGTACTGCCATTTACTTCTCTCCTTTATACTCTTACGCAGACAGCCTATATAAACTTGCTAGTGATAATACAATTGTCTCCCTACACTGTAACTGGGGTAGGTTCCAGATCAGGAGAACCTAACACAGAAGTATTTCTTGTATTAGTATAGTTGTAGAGCAAGTCAAACCAAGCATTAGTTGCCCTCAATCCGGTTACTAGGAGACTGGTGTGGCTTTTTCATCAATTGGGGTGGAGATGCATTCTTCAGCAACGTAGGAGAAATGCATTGCAATAGTCTGGGGCCACACCCATAATCAAAATTAAAGATTATGGAACATTTTAACAAATGCACAACCATAATGAGCCCGGACAGTAATCTGAACAATAATTATACTTGCAGCTTGTAGTCAGCACATGCCTTTTCTGATGGTGTAATCAAATAGATTGCTTCCAAACTGGGAATTGGCTCCCGCCGCTTGTTGATATCTTCAACAACTGGAACAAGAGACAACGATGTTGCAACAGAGTTTCAAGTACTGTTATATGAGAATTAATAGTGCGGTCTTAGGAGACAGACATATTCATCTGTTACGCAAACGTTGTGAATATCCTGTATAATCTAGGCCCCAGGCAAGAAGTGAAAAAATACAGATCTCAGACTTCAATAGGGATGGAATATTTAAAATCATAAAACAAGTATTTCCGCAGAGGCAGCTAATCCTGATACTTTTTTTCTGCACACTAATTTTAACAAATGTAACAACAATAACCTTTGTTTCAAAAATAATGCAGAAGAGGGAGAGAGAAAACAATGGTAGACCTGTTGGTCTGACATCAAGTAATAGGGAAAATCCCAGATCCTATTATAGAGGATGAGATAAATGGAACACCTAGAAAATAATCTGAGCCAATGTGGATTTATGAAAAGGAAATCATGTCTAACAAACCTGTTGGTAGTTTTTATGCATGTTACTAGCAGAGTAAATAGTGGATGTGTTGTATTTGAACTTTCAGAAAGCTTTTGATGAGGTGCCACAGAGGTCAATAAAACAAAATTAGAGCACAAAGGTATCTTTTTTGAGAGGAGGCTGGGATGGGGAAAATGAGAGAGGAGAGACAGCGAGGAGAAACAAAAGAGAGGAGAGAATAGAATGGGAAGAGAAAGGGGGAAAAGAGAGAAAAAAAAAAGGAGGGGGACAAGAAGTGGGGAGAGAAGGAAGGGGTAGGGGGAAGGAGAGGAGCACAGACTGAGACTTGGTTAACAAAAACAAAACACAGAAGGAATGCCTGTGTCTGTGTATTTATCACAAGCTTGAGCTTAGCTGTCAACAATCAATTACTTGGAAGTGGAATCCAAATTTGCAGATGACAAAACTAGGTGGAAATGCAAGCTGCAAGGAGGATGCAAGAAGCTTCAAGGGGATTTCAGTTGGTTGAACTAGCAAGAAAGCGGCAGACAGAATATATTGTGGATAAGTGAGGCTGTGTGCCGTGGTTCAAGGAACAGAAATGCAGGGCATTCCTTAAATGATGAGCGCTTAGGAAGTATTGATGGTCAAAAAAAGTGACCTAGGTATCCTTGTTCCCAACATGCGTGTTTACCAAGCAATTACGAAGGTAAATCAACTTACATCTGGGAAAACAGAATTATTTATGCAAAGATATCAAGGTGGCTGGGCCTGTATTCTCTGGAGTTTAGAAGAATGAGAGGTGATCTCATGAAATTTACAGAATTCTTAAAAGGGTTAGATGCAGCAAGGATCTTTTTCCTGGCTGGAGGAGTCTAAAACCAGTGGCCAGTGTGAGAATAAGATGCTAATCATTTAGAACAAGATGATTTCTTCATGGAGGGTAGTGAATCTTCAAAACTCTTCACTCCATGGGCTGAGGAAGTTTAGTCAAGGAGTATGCTCAAAATAACGATTGACAGATTTCAAGATGCTAACGACTTAGAAGGGACACGGGGATAATGTGGAAAGGTGGTGTTGGGATAGATAATGATCAGCCGAGATCTAGAATGGCAAAGCAGGCTGGAGAGGCTGAATAGCCTATTTCTGATCCTACATTTCTATGCACTCTTCTATATTGATATTTTCAAACTTCATAAAAACAAAACACTCTTACACAGCCCTTCTAAAGCTGCAGAAATCCTACTTTCATGTTCCTATCCTGTTCCCACCCCATGTTCTCGCACTTCAATTATTGCTGTATGATTGGCTTACTTGGACTGTCTGTCTTTACAATGCAAGACTTAAACGATGCTTTTCAGGATTGAATTTGATAACTCAGTACAAATTAGAAACCAGTGTCCTTATCTAATACATATGGAAGAGGCGTCTTCCTCTGTGTTATGGACTTAGTAATAAACTGGACTGATTCCCATATTAAAAAGAAACAAATATTTTTATCAATGTTAGAAACTACATGCCATGTAGCCTCCTGTGAGTTCCTTTATACAACTTTATTACCTGTTACATTGATGCAAATACAATACTGTGCTTCATAACATGCAGCGGTTAGGTCGTTAGTGTAGCTTTGGGCTGAGCCTCTGTGCAATGAAATCAATCCTTGGCTGAACCATCCAGGCAGGTTGCTTTACGCAATAAATAAACAATGATCACCTTGCAATGTAAAGCGATATATACCAAATGCACAAGTTACCCTGGCTGGTCTTTACATCCTCATGCAAGGTGTTCACCCAACACCCATCTCCACACCTTCCTCAAATTGGGATTCAAACAAATGATTGCATTGGAATGTGAATTTACTCACTGGTTATGCCTTCTGCCATTATGTCGGACATTTTACAACAGGAAGACAAGATCTTCATGCTTAGGTGATCCACCAGCAACACCTAGGAAAGGTTTAGACAAAGTTACATTTAATTGATTTGTTTAAATATTATTTGGGAAGGTATTACACCAAGACTGACAGCGTAACACTGCTACAATATATTTTTAAAAAATGGTTCGTTAATGCTAAAAATGTGTTAAAAAATGCGCTTTAAATTTAGGTGCAGGGCAATGGGTACAAATTGTCAAAAAGATAAATTATATATTGGGAAGCAACTAATAATTGGAATGGTCTTGTGTAAGATAGCAATGGAAAATTCCCAACGTTTTCACAGAAACATAAGAGCAGGAGTAGGCTACTCAGCTCCTTGGACCTGCTCTACCATTCTGGACCAGGGCTGGTTATCCACCTCTCTGCTGTTTCCCATGTTATCCCTTATGCCTTAATATCATTAATATCCAAAGATCAATCGCTCTATCTTGCGTACAACAACTGCGTCTCAATGGTACTCCATGACAAGGCATTTCAAAGTGTTATCCTCTTAGTTAAGAATTTACTCATCTCGTTGCTAAATAGCTTGCACCTTATCTGAGATGGTTGGCTGTGCTTCTGGACACCCACCCAAGGTAATGATCCTTTCTACACCCACCCAGAGTAGTTGTTTGAGCATTCTGTATGTTTCAATTAGATCACTTCTCATTTTTCTAAACTGTTGAAAAAGAGGCCCAGTCTACTCAATCTTGCCTAAAAAGGACAGTCCCACCAGTCCAGGAATTAGAATGGTGAACTTTTGCTGCATCCCCTTATGGAAAATATACTTTACCATGGGTAAAGGAACGTTAGCTATGCACAATAATTGAGAAGTGCTCTCTCTAAGTTTCTATACAATTGAAACAACACTTCATTACTCTTATACCCAAATCCTCTTGGGATAAAAGCAAACATACTATTTTCTTTCCTCCCCAAGTGTTTGTTACACCTAGAAGTTTAATTTCAGTCATTCATGAACAAGGACAAACCAGTCCCTTTGGACATTCACACTTCCCAATCTTTCACCATTAGGTGAAATACTCTGCACGTCCATTCCTCTGACCAGAGTGGATAACCTCTCATTCATCCATGTTTTATTTTGTTTGCCATACTTTTACCCACCCATTCAGTCCATCTAAATCCCCTTGAAGCCTCTTTGTATCATCCTCAAATTTCATATTATCCACAAATATAGAATTATGTTTGGTTCCCATAACCAAATAATAGGTACAGATTGTGAACTGCAGCCCGAAGCATTGATCCTTGTGGTACTCTACCAATCATAGCCTCAAAAACTGCATTTCAATCTGATAACCAATTCTCAACTCATGTCTGTATATTAGCTCCTAACCCATGTACTCCAATTGTTTACTAGCCTTTGTGGGACCTTATCGAAAGCTTTCTGAATCCAATGGTCCACCTTACATACTTCACAAGTAACATCCTCAAAACACTTGAACAGATGCGATTTGCTCTTCATAAACCCATGCTGACTGTCCAGTTATCACATCCTTTCTAATAGATTATCATATTTTTACTATGGCTGATGTCAGGCTAACAGATCTTTAATTTCCAGTTTTATATCTCTCCTTTCTTAAATAGTGAGGTTACATTTAGAATCCTCCAATCTCAAGTACAATTTCACAATCTGTAGAATTTTTAAAAGATGATCACCAACGCATTCAATATCTGTACAATCACCCTTCTCAATACTCTAGGATCTAAATCACGTTGCCAGGACTGCAGGGTTCGAGTTACAGGGAGAGGTTGAATAGCCTGGGGCTTTTTTTCCCCTGGAGCAGAGGCTGAAGAGTGACCTTAGAGGTTTATAAAGGTCATGAGGGACATGGATAGGGTGAATAGCCAAGGTCTTTTCCCCAGGGTAGGGAATCCCAAAACTACAGGGCATAGGTTTGAGGTGAAGATTTAAAAAGGACCTGAGGGGTAACTATTTTTGTGCAGACGGTGGTGACTGTATGGAATGAGCTACCAGAGGAAGTGGTGAGGCGGGTACAATTACAGCAACATTTAAAAGCAATCTAGATGGGTATATGAATTGGAAGGGTTTACAGAGATATCGGCTAAATGCTGGCAAATGGGACTAGGTAAGATTGGGATATCTGATCAGCACAGACAATTTGAACCAAAGAGTCTGTTTCTGTGCTGTATGGCTCTATAACTGTATGAGACCTGGAAATGTCTCAACTTACAGTCTCTAATTTGTCCAGTACTACTTTTTTGTTTTATACTACTACTAACAGGTTAGTTCCTCATTCACTCTAGGCTCTTGGATCTTTAGTTCTGGAAGATTTCGGGTCTCTTCCCTGGTGAAGACAGACACAAAGTCATTATTTTGCTTCTCTACCGCTTTCCATGATACATTCCAACTCTGCCTGTAACGGACTGATACTTTCCTTGCTAATATTTTTCTCTTTACATGCTTAGAGCTTCTACAGTCCATCTCCATGCTTCTCGCTCATTTATTTCTTATTCTAACCTCCCTTATCAGTTTCTTAGTTCTCTTTTACCAAATTCTAAAATGCTCCTCATCCTCAGGTTTACTACTTTTCTGGAAACCTTAAGCCTCCTCCTTTCATCTAATACAATCAATCTTTAGCTTCCTTTGTTGACCATGGTTGACTCACTTTTCTGATTAGACTTGTGCCTTAAAGTAATGCACGTATTATGAACCATGCATTAATTCTAAAATTTAAACATTGCTCATCTACTTTCATAACCCATAACAGCTAAGGAGCTTCTTATAGCTCCATTGCTTTGTTTAGATTTAAGACCCTAGTTTCAAATTGAATTACATCATCATTTTCAAACTTTATGGAAAATTCTGTTACATTCTAAATTATATATTTTAATATTGTCTTAGGGAAGAGATATGAGGCAATATTACTAATATTTAATAATTCATCAGAAAAAGATGCAAGTGAATTGGTAGAAGCTAATGTAATTTCATTGTGTACGAAAGGTGACAAGGAATATCCAGGGAACGAAGTAAAGACCAGCTAGTTCAACATTACTGGAAGAGAAAAAAATGGAATCCTTCCTAAAGGAGAGAATGGAAGAACACCTGAAATTAAAAATAAATAAATGGTCAAGTATGGATTTCAAAAATGAAAATCCTTCTTGATCAAATATATTGGATTTTTGGAAAAGGTAGCGGAGAATAGATAACGGTAATGCTGTGTATGTAATTTATTTCAATTTACAAAAGACCTTCAGTAAGGTGCCCCACATATGAATGAAAATATTGAAGTCAGCGGAAACCCAAAGTAAAGTGCAGAAACAAAGGGTAGATATTCAGAATTTCAGAGGTGGGAAGTGGTATTCCACAAGAATCTGTATTGGAATCACTACTGTTCATAATTTACATTTCCTAAATTTACAAAGTCCAAATTGTTATTGATAATTGATAAATCTTTGACACTAAATGGAGGTTAAGATCAGCAGTCGATTCTGAGGAGGACTGCAACACGTTACAGGAGATAAATTAATTCTACAAATTTACTCATAAGTGAAGTTCAACACAGATGCATGGAAATGTGAGGTAGTACATTTTGCTAGGAAGAATAGGGAGTCACTTATTATTGGTGGGGCAGAGGAACAAAAGATTCACAGAATACAAACTAGACAATATAATTACATAATAAGGGACATGCATTTGAAACTTGTTAATGCACCAATATCAATGAGAATGAGAGGTATCATTTGGTATATTTTATTTCTCCCGTAGCTTTCATTACACTTTCCCTGCCTTTTTACCCTACACAGAAGCTAGTCACTGCATAAACTAGTGCATAAACACTGCGTAAAGATAATAATTGTTCATTGCCAGCATGTCCTGCATTTGAAAAGTTTAAACAATCAATATATTTAAACTTCTCTATTCCATTGGTACAGAATGAAGCTCTAGGAGTTCCCTCTCATTTATCTCATGGGATTGATAGTCGCAGGTTTTCATATCCACTCTCATTACTTAGTCTGCTAGCACTGCTGCTAGTCTGGGAAATGGGAGGGAGATACAGTGGCATCAAATGCACCATATCCTGAGCAGAGGCTTCTTTTGGATTAATCAGAACATCGTAAACTTTCAGCAGTCGAGCCTTAGCAGTGACACACACAGGTCTATCTGGATCCAAGCCAGTCAATGAGACAGAAACCAACATCCTTTTCCTTTTGGATAGAGTTTATTAACTAAGTCTTAATGCTCCTAGCATACAGCAGACCCACCTGCCTTACGAGTATTATCTGCATTGATTGGGAAATTTAAGTACATTTTCTCATTTGCAGATCTTTTAGCTCACCTGCTTAGTCAAAATAATTCATTGAATGCATATTTTCCATTCTCTTTTACAATGCTAATACCTTTCACTCACCTATTGTGAATTTTATCTATTTTATTTCTGCTCGATTTTGCCTTCCTAGAAGTTTTGGGTTTTCTGGGATTCCTAACTGGTCCTCCTCTTCTTAGGCAGTCCCTTGGGATTGAGAATGACTTGCCTCTACCCTATTCCATTTCAAAGACAGAACTGGTCCTCTCTCTTTTAAGCTATAAATTATACAGCTTTGAGGAATCTATGGTTCATGAAGCAGTATTTCATGCATTGCATAACGATGAGGTTTTGAAAAGTGCAGTTACCATATCTGATTTGAACAAACACTCTGCCAAGCTATCAATTATGCTAAAAGATTTATCACCCACCTGCCACCAAGCATGCAAGCTAAGGGTGCACAGATTTTGTTTAACTTATTCCATTAGCACTGTTAGATTTGCAAGGCACCTTCTTCTGAGATCAACTCCGTTTTGGTCTCCAGGTGAAACATAAATCAAGATACTGACCACAGCTCTCGCCCGAGACCATTTTCTCACCTAGAACTGCTTGAAATCTCCACATCGCATACAAAATGTAAATTATACAAGCCCATAGAAATGTTACTGTAAATTCAAGCACGAATTTTTCCAAAGGATGGCACAGCAAGTTTATGATTGCAAACAGCACCCAACCATCTAACATCACCATCAAGGTCCAAAATATTCTTACAGCAGATTTTGATATTGGTACTTGAACCATTGAACAAGCCTAAATACAGAACAAAAGAAGCTGCCTGAAGACAACCATTTCTCTTTCCTTCTCCAAGCTGAAGTATTCAGATCTAAATAGGCATTACACACCTTCCATTCTCCATCCTTCTTCAGATTCTTGATCACTCCAGTTAAAATTTCTACAAGAAAAGAAAAACTCCAGTTGATATTATAAGAAATGCAGTTATGTGAGAAAAGTTTATTTTACTGTCTTTATATAGTAATATAACATTGTTTTCTTCTGTTTAATATAGCATATGTCAAAGCACAGCCCTGGATCAGTTAAGTTCTTCAATCAAAATACAAGTATAACAAGTTATACAAATAGATCAAATGAGTGGACCAGATTAGAATCACTGACTTCACAAAACCTAATGGGCAAGACGAAATAAAGTGTAAATGCGGTGTTCTACAGTTTAAAAAGTAAAACGTTTTGCCAATAGTCATTATTTAAAACTCAGTAACTAGTCAGAGCATATTGCTAGATTTATGGAGACTTTGCATTATAACAACATGCATTACACATATGGTGAAATCTCTGCAGATTCCTCCTAGTTCAGTTTATTGATCTGTCATTTATAACTAATAATACATAAATTATATAAAGTGTTTTATTTACATTTGTAAGTGTATTATGTAAAAAGTAATTTCACTCCTCATATTTTATCAAATGGTAATGGAGAACCACCCAGTTAGATTTGTAGAGGTGTAAAGTATTGGACCAGACCGTTTGGTCCAACCCATTCATGCCAACCAGATATCTTAAATTAACCTTGTTCCATTTGCCAGTATTTGTCCCATATCTCTTTAAGCCCCTCGTATTCATATACCATCCAGATGCCTTTTAAATGTTGTAATTACACCAGGCTCCATCACTTTATTTGGCAGCTCATTTCATACATGCACCACCCTCTGTGTGAAGAAGTTGCCCCTCAGGTCCTGTTTAAATCTCTCCCCTCCCATCTTAAACCTATGCCCTCTAGTTTTGGACTCCCTTACCCTGGGGAAAAAGATCTTGGCTGGTAACCCCATCCTGTGCTGCTCACAATTTTATAAATCTCTATAAGGTCACCCCTCAGCCTCCAACTCTCCAGGGATAACAGCCCCAGCCTATTCAGCCTTTCCTATAGCTCAAACCCTCCAACCCTGGCAACATCCTTGTAAATCCCTTCTGAACCCTTTCAAGTTTCACAACATCCTTCCTATAGCAGGGAGATCAGAATCAAAACACTGCGTTGAAAAGTTGCCTAATCAATGCCACAACATGACCTCCCAAATCCCACACTTAATGCACTGACCAATAAATGCAAACATACCAAACACCACCTTCACTATCCTGTCTACCTGTGACTCCACTTTCGAGGAACTATGAACCTGCATTCCAAAGTCTCTTTGCTCAGCAACACTCCCCAGGACCATTAAGTGTATTCTATATAAACAAAATAATTCCTTCATTCTTCGACATGAATCCATAGTTAATTCCCTCTTACTGCCTAAGACAATTTTGTGTGAGAATTGCTCACTATCAATCTACAATCCATTCACAATTTTAAAATCTCTTGGGTCCTCCTTTAACCACCTTTTACAAAAAGCCCAAATACTCCTTCAATTCTCATTCCTGATATTATTTTAGTAATAAAGGGAAAACCAGATGTGTGATAGAGGAATTGAAGAAAATGCAGAGAGAGGGTTAAGTACAGTAAGTCAAGGCATGATTGGGTGGAATAAAAACCTGTGGAAACCAATTGGACCAGGGAAAAATTTACAGTTGCAGAGCAACATGGCTCATTCTGAACTACTCTCTGCAATGGCCCTAACAAGCCACTCAGCTTTAGGCAATAAATGCTGGCCCACACTCATCCATGAGCAACTAAGACAAAAGCAAAAAAAGGAAACAGGTCATGCAATTCTGAAAAAAATCTGAAAGAACTATGGATGCTGTAAATCAGAAACAAACATAAATTGCTGAAAAGCTCCAGATGTTGTCAGACCTGCTGAACTTTTCCAGAAATTTGTTTGATTTTTATGCAATTCTAAAAGTTATTGACATGTCCTTTCTAAGCATTTGCTACCCTACCTATAATGGGAATCTTGCCTTAATACCAACAACAACCCGTTTCCTGTTGGAGAAGCTCAATATTTGAACAATTCTTTTGAAAGATTATGGTGTGACACTGTATTAAAGTCAGATTATAAGCATTAAGATGCAATTATCCAGAGGTGCTCTGAAAATATTCCGACATTTTTAAAAGGTTGATCAGACAAAAGCAATCTTCTGTAATCATAGAAACATTCAGAAGTGATCAAGATAATTAAGATAATAGTTGTTAAAAATACAATCACTGAATTCAGTAGCTACAACTGAGGACAACTTTCTGCTGATGGTGCGAGATGCGCAACTCAGGAAGACTAAAAACCTGAGCTCACATATAACCAATTATTTCAGTTTAACATCGCACATTGGAAACTTAATCAAGTGTAGAATGACAGTTATTTAGCTGAGCTTAGATTAGCAGCCATATTTTTATAGCTGCTTTTCAATTGTCCAAGCCAAGTTCCAACATTCAGATCTTGCCCATATTCAGTGGTTAGGATGTTTCTCAGATTACAGCTCACTATCAATCTACAACCCATTCACAATTTTAAAATCTCTTTGGTCGTCCTTTAACCACCTTTTAGTAAAAAGCCCAAATACCCCTTCAATTCTCATTCCTGATATTATTTTAGTAATAAAGGGAAAACCAGATGAGTGATAGAGGAATTGAAGAAAACGTAGAGAGAGAGGGTTAAGTACAGTAAGTCAAGGGTGGAATACAAACCTGTGGAAACCAATTGGGCTGAGTTGAGAACCACTGGCACAGGTCCTCGTAGCACACAAGAACAACTTTACGGTGAGAGAAAAAAAAAAATGTGTTGAGCTAGTTGACTTTAGGTGGGGCATTATAACTGGGCTCAACACCTGCATGGGGAATTAAATCATGCTCCCACACCCAACATTTAGCCAATGTTCTTAGCTGAAAAACACAAGCACATGCAAATAGTTTGCAAGGATATGAAGTTTAGTTGCAATACTTTCCAAATCGCCTATAACAGCAGATGTGATAAGTCCAGGTTAAAACTATCTAACTGTATACACAGTCCATGTTTAAAAGTTAAATCACTATGCTGTTAGTTTGCACATTAACTATGATGCCATTCTAGGAATTCAGATGAATTCAGACACAGCAATGGCCTACAAATGAAACAACAGTTCTAAAATTAGCTTTTTCAGACATCAAGGCCCACAAAAGTTAAACAGCACAAACCAGCAGGAAATAAAAGAGTGATCAGTGTAGTTTCGGTTAATGGATTAGACAGCACAGGCCTTCTGAATTTCATCACCTCAAGCCCCATATGATGATTGCCAACAGTAAAACAACATACTCAGGCAAGGGGAATAAAGAAAACAAAGCAACTCACTCTGTAATGTAGGTTGGTTTCCCAATTTTAGTCAGAATAAATGCTGCATATTTTATAGCAGGCCATTTCTGTTTTGATATGTAAACAAAAACCTTCTTAAAATGGAGAGGAAAAACTACTTTGGAATCCAACATGGCCTTAGCCACAACTGTCACACTGTTTATCAGGGATTGAAATCCATTCTCAATTGCTTCCCAATCTGCAACCGAAATCAAATCCAATATTCAGCATTCTGTCATGTCTATCATAATTCTGTACAAAATGTCAACGTCTACCATTCTGATCCTTGCTAACCTCCAACGGCTGCCTGTCCTTTGCAGGCAAAAGTGCCCCCTTGCTTCATTTCTACAGCATTTCTTCTCCTTATACTTTTGCAACCACCTCTAACCTCAAGTCTCTGGCCCTCTTGAAATTCTAGTCTGTTGGTATATTTGTTCTCCTTTGCATTGTTATCTGTGGTACAGCCTTACACTTGCCAAAGCAGTTGTCCTACAAAAAGTCTTTAGCAGCACAGATCCAGCTACGCACACATAGCGACTTCAGAACCTGATGACTTAGACCTGCTAAAATTAGACACAATTTTACACTTGCCATTTTCTATATCATGTGGTCAAAGTCTAAGAGGTAACAATTTATTTAAGTTAAACTGCTTTTAAGCAGTAGTTTCCCACTAAAATCAGACTGACCCACAGTTTCTCATACTGTAGTCTACTGTAATTATCCCAAATAAAGCTTACACATTTATACACATGGATTGTCATACTTCCTTTGCATCAATCGTGAACTTGTTTATTTATTCTAAAGCTTTTACCAATTAGTGATGATCCAAGTAGCTGAGGTTATAGACCAAAAAAAAGGTTCCAAGCTCTCTCTCAGAAGCAGTAGAAGATCTCAGCTGGCTAGCTTATTGGCAGCTATAATTAGTCAGTATACTTTTTAAGCAGGTTTACTCCCTGCACTACTTCTACTCCTCCCCCATTTCTTGCTGTCCACTGATCACTGTGTGTGGTCATCAGATGCAACACGGATCAATTTTCAGTTTTGATTGGAACATTCTCTACAGTTAAGTAACTTACTGACAGTTATTGCTCGGGATCATGAGGATTGATTGTCTGGGCAAAGCACTGAAGGATGACTGGCCAGCCTGTACCCAAGAACTACACTCCAGCAAAGAATCTACTTTTTCCAAGGAATTATGGGGGAAAAAAAATCATGTGAGCCAAAATTCAGTTTAACACAACAGTGAGAAAGTGTACCCACGTAATATCAAATTTGCAGTGTTATTTGAATATGAGATGTAGTCTAACATTAGGGAAATTAAATATCTAATTAAATGCAACATTCGAAGAGCAAAGTCTCATTTGCACATTAAAAATTTCTACAGAAATAAAATTACGAAATTAGAGGCTGGAGGAAGAAGTGGTAACGTGGTTTAGATAAACTCTACTGTGCAAGAGAAACAGAGTTCATTATCAGTGCAGACACATCGTTAAGATGTTGAACTTACTTGCATATAAAATGGCATTAATTGGGCTTTGCAACATACCTAAGCCAACATCCTTAATAAAATTATCAAAAAACAAAAATAAAACAAATGGAGCTGTGAAAATTATATTTACTACTATTCTGTCTTATAACAGTGGCAACTTATTAAAACAAACAATAAACAGTAACTCCTTGC